ATGTGAGATGAAATTGAGGTAAGTTGCTACTAAGGAATGTTCTTAAAAGTCCAAGATAACGAGCAAAGTACTTTTTAAAAATAAAGGAAGAAAGGTGTACTTCACTATATGAAATGTCACGTCTCTGTCACAGTTATTAAAATGGCTTCAGCGTGCCTGCCCGGGCGTGGCTCAGCGGTTGAACGTTGACCTAGGATCCAGGCGATAGGGGTTCGATTCCCGGTCAGGGCACATTCCCAGGTTGCGGGCTAGGCAGCCGATCAATGACTCTCTCATCATTGATGTTTCTCTCTCTCTCCCTCTCCTTTCCTCTCTTTGAAATCGATAAAGATATATTTTTTTTAAAAAGTGGATTCTTTAAAAAAAAATTAAAGTAAAATAAAATGGGTTCAACATTAAAACAAGGCAATACTGAGATCCAAGGTGAGGCAGCTACAGAAGTGGTTTGGAAGCCAGAATTAGGATGGTCAGAGGCTAGGAAGCTAGAAGCAAGGCTCAAGGAGCAGAAGACTCGGGGACACAGAAGCATGCTCTGTGCCCTTTGGTGAGGCAGCCAGCTCAAGGCCATCCGGTAGGAGTCACCTGACTGGGGTGGATAGTGTGGTCTCAAGAGAGAGAAAATCATTAGTGTATATGGTTATTGTTAGACTCTAAATTTGTGTTATGGGCTACAAAACTAATACAATGTATAGTAAATACAATGTATAGTATAGGGGATAGAGCAGTTCAATAAATGCAGGAAACCTTAAGTAAACAGGTACCAAGCAGTTGGCCCAGAAACTGCTGATATTTCTGTTTAATTGGAATAAATTGAAATCAGTGTCTTTCTGAAAAATGCTTAAAACCATTCTATAAAATAGTGGTGCAGTATTTGTGATTAGCAAAAAGTACAAGTTATATATAAAACTGTTGTAGGCTATAAACAGAAAATATTTTATAAAAGCCTCATGCAAATTGACAACATTAGGGCCTAGTGGATATAGTACATGCAAATGATAGGCAACTCACCAAAGTGAAAATAACACTGTTAACTGTGGTCAAAGAAGTGCAAATTAGAGACACCATGAGGTTCCTCATTCACATAACTGATTTTTTTTTAAGTATGCAAAACTAGGGTAGAAGCTAAAATGGTATGCTTTGCAGCATTACACACTAATATGCCCTCACTTGTTTTGGAAAGCCACTTAGTTTTATATATTGAGCCATAAAAACAATGTAACCTTTGGTCTAGTCATTTTATTTTAAAGAGCTTTTCTAAGGAGGTTTAAAAGATTGTTTAAATAAACACTATATATGTGAAGATTTTTTTTGACAATATTATAAGAATAGAACTTTGTAAGTACCTAAACCCCAATAGGAGTTTGGCTAAGTAAAGTATAGGAATAACACTTGATAGCTGATTATGTATCCATTAAACAGTAAATATGCTGCATGTTAAAAAAAAAAAAATCTAAAAATACTTAAAATCTTTTAAAGAGAAGTATTGATTTGTATAACCAGAGTCACAGAGTAAAAAATCAAGGTACTCCTTGATTCAGGAATTACATGTTCTTCTCAGAACTTGTCTCAGTTCTGCTACCCTGTTGGTTTCTCCTGAGAAAGCTTTCTTCTCAAGCTGGCGAAGGGAGCATCCACAGCCCCAGATGACCTAAGGATCCCAGAGCTCACCTCTGCCTTTCTCATAGGTTCTTGGGAGGTGCCAGGCCAGCTGTGAGCCATTGGCCAGCCCTGGGTCATGTGCCTGCCCTAGAACTTAGATGTAGGGTAGGGGCAGTTTCAACTTTTTTGTTTGTTTGTTACTTGAGCTAATTTTGATGTGTTTCTGCATGTTGTCATTTCTTTTATACCAGCCTTCTTGATTTTCGATTTTTGTATTTAGAGCCATAGCAGCACATCTTGGTTTGTGTGTGTGTGTGGAAGCCTGCTTCTTCTTTGATTCAAATACACTCTTTTTTCCTGGGCTTCCCATTGAAAATTTTAATTAAACTATATCATGCCATANGTGTGTGTGGAAGCCTGCTTCTTCTTTGATTCAAATACACTCTTTTCCTGGGCTTCCCATTGAAAATTTTAATTAAACTATATCATGCCATAGACACCGATATATAATATGGCTACTTCTGCAGACATTTGTTCTTATTTTTTATTCAAATGCAATATATTTGCTTTACTTTTGGTAGGAATTAGTCTTGAATTTTTTCAGAAGTCTGAGGTTAAAGGCTGCATCTCACTTTGTGCACAACTGAATTAATTTATTTTTCTAAATAGCTACTAGCATGTCTCATTTTTCAAATATGTGGGAAAAAACCTTTAAAATAATTTTATGGGGTTTTTACATTAAAGTGTTAACATAAGAAATAGTCAAACCTGTGAAGAATTTTTGTGAGTTTATTTGAGCCAAACTGTTGACATGTGCTGAGAAGCAGAATCTCAAAGGATTGAGATAATGCTCTGGAGAATGGCAGTTCAGCACCTTGTTTTATGCATTACAGTCGAGGAGGAGACGTAAGTGGGTTACATGAAATCCTTTGGTGATAGATCAGGGAGGCAGGAGAAAACAAAGTGGGGAAACCCCTGGGATTGGATAAAAAGTAAAATGATACTTAGGTGGGTACAGGACAATTAACAATCAACAACTCGGTAACAATGAGGGGATTTGTGGTCTCCACAGAATAGTTCATGTGTTTTGAGGGGTCCAGAAAAAGGAAAATTACTTTGACATTCCAATGATGTTATTGTAGATGCAAAAAGACAATAGACAGGCTCAGTTAAGGTAAAGACTACCTTTGTCAGGGAAGATACTGGCCTAGGACATGACTGCCCACCATAAACTGCTTTTTAACTTAAAAAGTTTTAATTGCACACTGTCCTTTGTGGTTAATTTAGGTCTCTTGAGTTTTCGAGGCTGCCATGCAGGCCTCCCCTGAGCTAGTCAGGTTAGCATGTGGCCCCTTTTCATCCACAGAAATGTTGAATAGAATAGTTCCTACAAAAGCAATTTAATAAACTTGAAATTCAGTGAAGGAATTTTCTTGAAGAACAGGGCAATTGGTTTAGTTATTTAAATTTCTAGTGTTGGCAATACTTTCAAAATGGATGGCTCAGATGTCTTTTAAACCAGTAAGTCCCAAATGATGGTGGAAGATTCTAGCTGTATTACTGGGAGGGGAAAAGGGTTCTAGGTATAAACCTGTGACATGATGTGTTAGACTTTATTCATTATTGGACTGCTTAGTTTTAACACAGCAGTGAGCATTTTGCTTCTCTAAAAACCACGGATATGGTTTATTTATATTTGACCTCTAGATACCCTTTTAAAAAATAGAACCATTATGTGATTTGGAAAATATTGCCTTAACCATTACTCTATCAGGATCTTGGTCCACTTTCTTACAAGATTGGTTAAGTGGTTTGAGATGGTCATTACTAAGGAATATCATAGGGTTTGTTTTTTAAAAGTGATGACTTTTTATTCCATATAGTGGCAAACTTTATGTTATTAAAATTCAAGTACCTGTTTTGTGTAGTTGAAGATTATCCCACCTTGGTGCAAGGTGGACTGCAGGCAGACCTACCTTTATATAGCTACAGCAAATTTCATTTTTACAAGCAGCCCAATGATCAGGTCCAGAAAGTATTCTTATTGAAGTCCCAAATTAATCGTGTGGCATGGAAGGAAGAAGTGAGTTTAGCTTTGGAATTTGAGGGTGTTGGGGGTAGAGATGTTGATCGTGCTCTGTTGACCTGATTGTGAAAGGGGGAGGGCATATAATAGGAATAGGACCATAGCTGTTTAATGATTATTCACCTTACTAACTGTAGATAAAGAAATTTTCCTACAGACCCTAGGAAACTAGAGGATGTGCTGCAAGAAGAAAAACAGAGCTGTAAAAAGATGAGACACCTTGGGGCCTGGATGGGCCCATTGCTCAGAAAAGAAAATGCATTTCAAGAACAGACAAAGGGCAGGATGCATTTTGATTTGGTTGCTGTGCCTAGAGCCTAACCCCACTCCTGGAGTTTACCTCAGGAATGCTGACTATTCTCAGATCCCAGGAACTGGCAGAACTGGGTTTTAACACCATTGAAAGTCAACCACCTTGTTATGGGACTTCAAGATCTTGGAAGGAGACACAGGGACCACAGACCTGCAGCCATCCTTCCACACGCACCCCTCCCCCCTTGCGTGCAGCCCTGTATAACCAGCCAGGTAATAAGGGAAGGGCAGAGCAGATTTTATGTGGACAAATCCCACTGCTCTCCCATTTGCTGGCAAAAATGGAATAAATGCTCATACTTGATTCAACCTTGTCTCTGCTTAATTGGCTGAAGAAGCAACAGGCAGCCTGGACCCATTGTGTTCAGTTTCAAGGGCAGAATTAAAAAATCACTTTGATGAAAGTGCTGAATGTCACTATCATGAAAGTGTTCCTGTAGATTCGCGCATTGAGCTCTTAGGCTGTCCTTTAAAATGTGCCGTGATGAATAGCCCCAAGTAAGCCTCTGCTAACTAAGTTCATTTTCTGAATGGAGTTAGAATTAGCCTAAATGTGTAAAGAACACTTGGCAAAAACAGCTCACTTGCTTTGGGCATATTTGATATATTAGTTAATTGACCACAGTGTAACTTGGTTCTTGAAATTGTTTCTGGAATGCACTAGTAAGATCAGCATAAAAGAGAGTGACTGTATTTCTAATTGATAAGTAGAAGTGGGAAAGCACTTATTTGATTCATAGGTTATTTAGGTGCAAGTTAAAAGAAAGTCTAGGACATAGCCTGGTTTTATTCCACATGTATTGAATGATTCTACAAGTTTGAATTTTCCCAATCGAATTTTTATATTGTTGCCTTTACTAAAATTGGCTTGTTAGCATTACTTAAAAACTCTTCCCAACCAGATTTTAAGTGATTAAAATTGCTGTGTAGCTATTTTTTAAATTATGTATTTTTCTCCTCAACTAAATTAGTATCTCTTTAATGTTCTCTTCTTCCTATACAGAGTTGGCTTCAGACTTAATACCTTCCGACCATCCGAGGGCAAGCACAATTTTCCTGGAGAAATCTCAAGTGGATGGTAAGTCAAGATAGGATTTAGGTCACAGTTAGGTTTTTATTTGAACAAATCAAAAAAATCAGTTGTTTATATATGAGGGTTAAATATGTGATTTTGGCTTTATTTTACATAGTGCTCAACCAAATGATCATATATCATATCTAGAACTTTTAAGCTATTCAAAACTCTTTCATTCTGATATAATGCTGCCAGGGTGCATCAGAGCAAAGAGAGCCACGTGGGGTTTCCCAGAAGCTTAGCCTCAGCTTCTGAAACTAGCGTCAATTTCCTGTGTCCTGTTTGTTTTAGGATAAGAATAAAAACTGTAGGATTTTAAGACTTTTGCTTGCCTGCTTATTTTCCTTAATGTTATGTTAAATTGAGTTTACTTGCTCAGAAAGGCACACTGATCAAGTCTTTCAGTTGATTATGACAGCAGAAGCACATGAAGGGAAGGTTCCATTTTATTTGAAGCAATGCGGCAGAGTAAAAAATGGGGGTTTTCACGTGTTTTAATGGTATGTGTGCATTTTGACTATCTGGAGCTGATCATTTTTTGTTAGGACTGCTGTATTTCTGTTTTTTCCAGAGCCATGGGCTGCTCACATGGAGAGAGAGGGTGCTGACAGTAAAGGAAAATCTATCCCATGCCCCTCTCTTCAGTCCTAAGGAACGTGTGTCTATGGTGCCCGTCCCACATTAAAGGAGGCAGTGTGGGAAACTAAGTTCAGCCCAAGACCCTCTTTGGAGCTTTTCTTTTTCTTCTGATCTTTGTTAGAACAAAAGGATTTTGTGTGTTGTCCATATGTTTAGTTATGTTAGCCACACTCATTTTAAAATTTAAATTAGATCGGTTCCTTTGCAACTGAGTAAAGCCCCATCTGTTTATTTATTTGTTTGTTTGTTTGTTTATTTTTTAATCCTCACCTGAGGATATTTTTTCCATTGCTTTTCAGAGAGAGTAGAAGGTAGAGAGAGGGAGAAACATCGATGTGAGAGAGACATATCGATTGGTTGCCTTTTACACACACCCCAACTGGGGATTGAGCCTGCAATCCAGGTACGTGCCCTTGGCTGGAATCGAATCCAGAATCGTTTAGTCTGCGGGCTAATGCTGTAACCACTGAGCCAAACTGGACAGGGCAAGACCTATTTATTTTTNGCACACACCCCAACTGGGGATTGAGCCTGCAATCCAGGTATGTGCCCTTGGCTGGAATCGAATCCAGGACCGTTTAGTCTGCGGGCTGATGCTGTAACCACTGAGCCAAACTGGACAGGGCAAGACCTATTTATTTTTTTTGAGTAAGGTATTCTAGTTGATTACCAGTAAGTGGTTCAGGATGCTTCCAGGTGCCTGGCCAGAAACTGGTTCTTAGAGCAGTCAACCGTTAGATCCTCGTCATTCAAGTAAAATGGGTATAAATGTAGAAATAGAAACTATGACTAAGCAGTGGTTCAGAAATGCAACAGTTAAACTTGTTTATTAGCTGTTTCTCACCTGGCCTAATTCACTTTGCCCTTTTCTTCTGTACATGGAGAGACTTTTATTTGTACCTAATACAGAATATCTGTGAGGTCAAACAAGTAAAACTTAGTTTTAAGATTTTACTTTATGGGACTCATCTTGCCAGGTGATTTAAATTATAAATTTTGTTGGAAATCATAAAAGAAATGGAATAAAATATTGTCTTATTTTGTATGTTGGTAATCTTTCAGGTAATCAGTAACTTTTCTTTTCCTATGGCATTTATATCAGCATTGATCAGTGACTTTTTTTTATTCTTAGTGCGAGGAAAGAGAAGAAAGAACTATTCATACCATGTAAGTAAACAGTTAAAAACTTAATAATTTGAATGAAAAGAAACTAATAATTTGAACTAAAAATTGTCTACCATGATTTTTAAAATATGTAATGGACCCAATATCATTAGCATGGATCTTTATTGGTAGATTTTCTAAATCTCTTCTATTATCTTAGTTATCAAACTTACATATTCAGGAAAGTTTTTGGCTTAATAATGCCCATTTATTTTTTAAGGGGTTCTAAACTTTAAGTTAAATTTCAGTAACATGATTGATGTATAAAGATCTGCCTTTTTTGCCTTATTTTTTAATTTTGTTTTTCGACAAAACGAACAACAATATAATAGTTAAGTCGGTTTTTAGCAGTCTATTGACTTATTGTCACAGCAGCTGAAAGCTTAGCTTTCTCACTCCAGCATGGCCTTATTTCCCTTCCTCTGTCCCCTCAACATGTATCATGGTTTTTATTAAATCAGAATTAATGTTTACATTATTATGACTATGTAAATATTTTTTACCTGTGAGCCATATAGTTCTATGGCTGTGCCTCTTTATTGTATACTCTTCATTCTTTCTCTCAAATATTACTGAAATTTGAGCACTTCTCCAGGATAATCCAAACCCTCTTCCTTATCACCATGATCTCAGGTAGCGAAATGCAGCAAGTAAGCTGGTCTCCCTACTTTCAAAAATAACTTTTTTGGTACCTAATTATCTAGTAATTTGTCAGAGAAAGATTACTGTCAGACAGAAATACTGCACTTATGCTACATTAACATAGTACCTAAGTCCTCATTTTTGTGTGTGTGGAATTAATTTTTTGACTATATTCACTTCCTGTTTTCTAACAGCTTTTTTTTTTTTTTTTTTCCAGAAAATTTTTCACAGGCCTGTCAAAAATATTTTCCATTTACTAAATACATTTGTTCCATTTTTTATTGGAAGCAATCTTCCCCAGCCTTTTGTTATCCTAGTCTAGTATAGAGCTATTCCTGTTTTTCTTTGGCATATTTCTTTAAAGTCATCTGGGATCTCACATAACTGCCTTCTTGAATTGGATTCCCTATGTCTTAAATCAGTGATTTTCAACCTTTTTCATCTCATCGCACGCATAAACTAATTACTAAAATTCTGCAGCACAAGAAAAAATATATCTTTTGCTGATCTGACAAAAAATTGGTATAATTTTAATTCATTCACACTGGACCTCTATTATTATGTTGGCTATTGTCATTTTTTTATTTGACAATCTAAGGGAAAAGAGGCCAGTGCCCCTGACTAAATAGTCAGGTATTCCATGTTTCGAAAATTCTTGTGGCACACCAAGGCACCATATGGTACACTGGTTAAAAATTGCTGTCCTAGGTTGTATATTTTCCTCTGTCTTATTACACTCCGTTGTTTTACTGTAGCACTTTTTCCTGGGAAAGGATACATGGGCAGAAATTTTTTAGAGATATAGCTTCTCTGAAATGCCTCCAATTTAATAAAGTATAGAATTCTAGGTTGAAATTTATTTTTGCAGTTCTAAAGACATTTCTATAGTTTTCTTATTTCACAGTGTTGCTCTTAAATCTGTTGACATTGGATGATACATTGTATATTACCAATTTTAGTAATTTCCCCCATCCCTTTCTTCTCTGGAAACTTTTAGAACCTTCTCTATTCCTAGGATTCTGAAATTTTATGTTTTAGTATGTACCTTTTCATTTTGTTGCCATTAAGACTGCAGGTCTTATCTACTTTCAGGGAATTGGTTTTGTTAATCTTCACCCAAGGATATTTTTTCCATAGATTTTTAGAGAGAATGGAAGAGAGGGAGGAAGGGGGAGAGAGACACAGAGACAGAGAGAAGAAAGCCACATCGATGTGAGAGACATCAATTGGTTGCCTTCCAGTGTGCCTGGTTGGGTCTGGGATCCAACCTGCCATCCAGGTACGTGACCTTGACCGGGAATCCAACCCGAGACCCTTTGGTTCACGGGCTGATGCTCTGACCACTGTACCACACCAAACGGAGGGAATTTTTTTGTTTCTTTTATATATTCTTTATGCCTTCTTTTTTTCTAGTATTCCCATTACTCAGAAGTTGGAAGTCTTAGACCAGTATTCCCGCACAAATCTAAATGTTTTTCCCTCTTGTTTTCCATTTTATCTTTTTCTATTTCCTTGACTTTATGTTCCAACCCTTCTATAATTCTTTGTTTTGTCTATCTTGTTTTTAATTTATAGTGTTCTCATATATCCTGACATTCTTTTTTATAGCATTTCATTCTTTTACCAATACAATTTTTTGCCTTTCTGAGGTTAAAAATTTTTTTAAGTTTCTGTTTGCTCCTGAATGTTATCACTCCCATTAATTTTCTTTTCTTTTTATGCAATAGTTTTATTTTACATAGGACAACTTATTTGCTGACACCATAGATTCTAAGTTGCTCTATTAAAGTAATCACTAATAAAATGTGATGTTCTTAGCATGTAGATTTTAGGAAGTGTTTTCAACTTACTTTTTTTATGAGTTCAAATTTTTATTCTTTTTTAAATTCATTGGGGTAACATTGATTAATAAGATTATATAGGTTTGAAGTGTACGTTTCTATGATGCATGATGGGTATATTGCATTGTGTGCCCATCACCCAAAGTCAAATCATCTTCCCTCACCATATATTTGCCTCCCTTTACCCTTTACTACTCCCTCACCCCCTTCCCTCTGGTAACCACCATACTGTTGTGTGTGTCTATGACTTTTAGTTTTATATCCCACATATAAGTGAAATAATACTGTTCTTAGCTTTTTCTGCCTGACTTATTTCGCTTAGCATAATAATATCCATGTTGTTGCCACAACAATCTTGAGAAAGAAGAACAAAGTCGGAGGGATCACAATACCAGATACCAAGTTACATTTGATTACAAAGCTACTGTAATCAAAACAGCCTGGTACTGGCATAAGAACAGACATATAGATCAGTGGAGCAGAACAGAGAACCCAGAAATTGACCCATGCCATTATGGTCAATTAATATTTGACAAAGGAGACAAAAACATACATTGGAGTAATGACAGTCTTTTCAATAAATGGTGTTGGGAAAATTGGACAGATACTTGCAAAAAAAAAAATGAAACTAGACCACCAACTTACACCATACACAAAAGTAAATTCAAAATGGATAAAAGACTTGACTTTAAGATGTGAAATCATAAAAATCCTAGAGGAAAACATAGGCAGCAAAATCTCAGACATCTCTCATAGCAATATGTTTGCTGATACATCTCATTGGGCAAGAGAAACTAAGGATAAAATAAACAAATGGGACTGCATTAAAATAAAAAGCTTCTGCACAACAAAAGAAACCATCAACAAAACAAAAAGGGAGCCCACTGTATGGGAGAACATATTTGCCAACGACATGTCAGATAAAGGGTTAATAACCAAAATATATAAGGAACTCATACAACTTAACAAAAGGAAGACAAACAATCCAATTAAAAAATGAGCAAAGGACCTAAATAGACACTTTTCCAAAGAGGACATACAAATGGCTGAGACACATGAAAAAATGCTCAACATTGTTAATCATCAGAGAGATGCAAATTAAAACCACAATGAGATATCACTTCACACCTGTCAGAATGGCTCCATCAACAAGTCAATGAACTACAAGTGCTGGCAAGGATGTGGAGAAAAGGGAACCCTGGTACACTGCTGGTGGGAATGCAGACTGGTGCAGCCACTATGGAAAGCAGTATGGAGTTTCCTCAAAAGATTAAAAATTGACCTGCTATTTGACCCAGTGATCCCACTTCTAGGAATGTATCCTAAGGAACCCCAAACATCAATCACAAAGAACTTATGCACCCCTATGTTCATAGCAGCACAATTTACAATAGCTAAGATCTGGAAACAGCCCAAGTGCCCATCAATAGATGAGTGGATAAAAAAATCTGTGGCACATTCACACCATGGAATACTATGCAGCTGTAAAGAGGAAGGATCTTTTATCCTTTGGCACAGCATGGAGGGAACTAGAAAGTATTATGCTAAGAGAAATAAGCCAGTCAGAGAAAGACAAGTACCACATGATCTCACTTATATGTGGAATATAATAAACAAAATAAACTGATGAACGAAATGGATCCAGAGACATAGAAACATGGAACAGACTGAGAGATCTCAGAGGGAAGGGGAGGGGAGTGGGTAGGGAGAGAGTAATCAAAGCATAACCCATGGACACAGACATTGGTGCGGGGAAAGCCTGGGGGTGGGATGGATGCGGGGTGGAGGGGATCAGTGGAGATAAAAAGGGGACATCTGTAATATTCTCAACAATAAAGATAAACTTAAAAAATAAATAAATAAAAGTAAATCTGTAATATTAAAAAAAAAAGAGAAGAAAAACAAAAGCAATAATGACTTTTATTTATAAAATGGAGCAAGGTGAAAAGGAGTCACTTCTCCCTTGGGGTCATGGCCAAGAGGGTATGGTCCAGGACAGTGCCCTGGAGGAGGGGACCAGTGGGTGCTGGACAAGCCTTGAGGCTATTCGGGAGGGTCAAGCCACGTTGGGAGAGTATAAAAAAAAAAGAAAGAAAAAAGAAAAAAAAGAAAGAAAGACACTTTGGTTGTTTCCATGTCTTGGCCACCGTGAATAATGCTGCATGAACATAGGGGTGGGCATATCTTTGCAAATACATGTTTTCAAATTTTTTGGATAGATACCCAGGAGAGGAATTGCTGGGTCGTATGGTAGCTCTATTCTTAATTTTTTGAGGAAACCCATACTGTTTTCCTCAAAAAAGTGGCTGCACCAGTTTGTATTTCCACAGCAGTGAGTGAGGGTTTCTTTTTCTCCACAACCTCTCCAACGCTTGTTAGATTGCTGTACCTGTCTTGTTGATGGTAACCATTTTGTTTTGATCTCTCTTACTTGTTGGCCTCCCTCAGATATGTGGTCGTCCCTGACTGTCTTTTGATACCTGATTGGAAGCACTAGGAGAGAGCAGAACTTTCGTTAAC